GGTAAGTTTAAAGTAATGGGCCACATAGCTGGTAAGTTTATGCTAATGGGCCAAACAGCTGGTAAGTTTATAGTGGAGGGTCACACTGGTAAGTTTATAGTGGTGGGTCACACTGGTAAGTATAGTGGTGGGTCACTCTGGTAAGTTTATAGTAGAGGGGCTCACTGGTAAGTTTATAGTAGAGGGTCTCACTGGTAAGTTTATAATAGAGGGTCACACTGGTAAGTTTATAGTGGTGGGTCTCACTGGTAAGTTTATAGTGGAGGGTCACACTGGTAAGTTTAAAGTAATGGGCCATATAGCTGGTAAGTTTATGCTAATGGGCCAAACAGCTGGTAAGTTTATAGTGGAGGGTCACACTGGAAAGTTTATAGTGGTGGGTCTCACTGGTGAGTGTATAGTAGAGGGGCACACTGGTAAGTTAATAGTAAAGGGCCACACTGGTAAGTTAATAGTAAAGTGCCACACTGGTAAGTTTATAGTAGAGGGCCACACTGGTAAGTTTATAGTGGTGGATCTCACTGGTAAGTTTATAGTAGAGGGTCTCAGTGGTAAGTTTATAGTAGGGGTCTCACTGGTAAGTTTATAGTAGAGGGCCACACTGGTAAGTTTATAGTAGAGGGTCAGACTGGTAAGTTTATAGTGGTGGGTCACATTGTTACGTTTATAGTGGTGGGCCACACTGGTAAGTTTATAGTAGAGGGCCACACTGGTAAGTTTATAGTGGTGGGCCACAATGGTAAGTTTATAGTAGAGGGCCACACTAGTAATTTTATGGTGGTGGGTCTCACTGGTAAGTGTATAGTAGAGGGTCAGACTGGTAAGCTTATAGTGGTGGGTCACATTTTTACGTTTATAGTGGTGGGTCACATTGGTACATTTATAGTGGTGGGCCACATTGTTACGTTTATAGCGGTGGGCCACACTGGTAAGCTTATAGTAGAGGGCCCCACTAGTAAGTTTATGGTGGTGGGTCTCACTGGTAAGTGTATAGTAGAGGGCCACACTTGTAAGTTTATAGTAGAGGGTCACACTGGTAAGTTTATAGTGGTGGGTCACATTGTTAAGTTTATAGTGGTGGGCCACACTGGTAAGTTTATAGTAGAGGGTCACACTGGTAAGTTTATAGTGGTGGGTCTCACTGGTAAGTTTATAGTGGTGGGTCTCACTGGTAAGTTTATAGTGGTGGGTCTCACTGGTAAGTTTATAGTAGAGGGCCACACTGGTAAGTTTATAGTGGAGGGTCACATTGGTAAGTTTATAGTGGTGGGTCACACTGGTAAGTTTATAGTGGAGGGTTACATTGTTAAGTTTATAGTGGTGGGTCACACTGGTAAGTTTATAGTGGTGGGTTACATTGGTTAGTTTATAGTGGTGGGTCACACTGGTAAGTTTATAGTGGAGGGTTACATTGGTAAGTTTATAGTGGTGGTTCACACTGGTAAATTTATAGTGGAGGGTCTCACTGGTAAGTTTATAGTGGAGGGTTACATTGGTAAGTTTATAGTGGAGGGTTACATTGGTAAGTTCATAGTGGTGGGTCACACTGGTAAGTATAGTGGTGGGGCACACTGGTAAGTTTATAGTGGATGGTTACACTGGTAAGTTTATAGTGGAGGGTTACATTGGTAAGTTCATAGTGGTGGGTCACACTGGTAAGTATAGTGGTGGGTCACACTGGTAAGTTTATAGTTGTGGGTTACATTGGTAAGTTTATAGTGGTGGGTCACACTGGCAAGTTTATAGTGGTGGGTTACATTGGTTAGTTTATAGTGGTGGGTCACACTGGTAAGTTCATAGAGGAGGGTTACATTGGTAAGTTTCCAGTGGAGGGTTACATAGGTAAGTTTATAGTGGAGGGTTACATTGTTAAGTTTATAGTGGTGGGTCACACTGGCAAGTTTATAGTGGGGGGTTACATTGGTAAGTTTATAGTGGTGGGTCACACTGGTAAGTTCATAGTGGAGGGTTACATTGGTAAGTTTACAGTGGAGGGTTACATAGGTAAGTTTATAGTGGAGGTTTACATTGTTTAAGTTTATAGTGGAGGGTCACACTGGTAAGTTTATAGTGGAGGGTCACACTGGTAATTATATTGGTAGGCCACACTGGTAAGTTTATAGTGGTGGGTCACACTAGTAAGTTTATAGTGGTGGGTTAAATTGGTAAGTTTATAGTGGTGGGTCACACTGGTAAGTTTATAGTGGTGGGTCACACTGGTAAGTTTATAGTGGTGGGTCACACCGGTAAGTTTATAGTGGTGGGTTACATTGGTAAGTTTATAGTGGAGGGTTACATTGGTAAGTTTATAGTGGAGGGTCATACTGGTAAGTATATTGGTGGGTCACACTGGTAAGTTTTTAGTGGTGGGTCACACTGGTAAGTATAGTGGTGGGTCACTGGTAAGTATAGTGGTGGGTCACACTGGTAAGTTTATAGTGGTGGTGCACACTGGTTTTTTAGGTCACCTGAGACAAAGTCTCAAGTGACCTATTGCGATCGCCTTTTGTCCGTCGTCGTCCGTCGTCCGTCGTGCGTCCGTAAACAATTTACATTTTCGACTTCTTCTCCAAAACCCCTGAACCAATTTCAATGAAATTTTGCAGGGACCTTCCATGGACAAAGGTCAACAAAA